AAAAAAAAAAAAAAAAAAAAAAAAAAAAAAAAAAAAAAAAAAAAAAAAAAAAAAAAAAAAAAAAAAAAAAAAAAAAAAAACAAAGTTTGCAGATTTTGGTACCCATTAATTGTGTTTTACTTACCCGAAAAGCAAGTTTGTTGAAATTTACTATGATATGTATTATTTTTGGAATTGTCATGGTCATATCTGTAGTTAGAGGTATGAAGAACGCCACAATAACGAGTTGCAAAAATTGTTTTGTCGTTATATTTCGATGCCTCCAAACGATATGGTATAATCATGATGTTGCTTAAACATCCACGGCTACTAAGAACTAATTTACGTTTTGAATTTTGTCGTGGTTGAGATGATTCGTCGTCCTCTGTTTTTAATGATTGATGTGTTTCTGGATTTTCTGACCCATACGGTTGTAGAACATTTTCTTCTAAGTCCACTATAAATTTTTGCGTAGTCTCCAACATTTTTGAAAAGTCAGCTTGTTGGCGAAAAATGAATTTCTCAAATCCCTTATTCAAATCTATTGGATAGGAGCGTGGTTCGATGAAATATGGTAAACGGACATCATTGGAATTTGCTTCAAAACGTTGATAAGCGTACAACTTCTGTTTTTTTGGTCGACTCAAATAAAATGGTGCTGCACTATTTTCATTAGTGAGGACACTTGCTTGTAATTCAATCAGAACTTCATAGCCGTCGTTATTTGCGGCAGTAGCCATTTTATGTGCAATATAATTCGGAATAATTATTAATGAGAATGCCTTTATATTCTATGAACTAAGAAATCGCTGCAACCATGGCATGGATAATATGATACGAGACTTTAGCATTGACTCTCTTTTTCTCTCAAACGCGTTCCCTGATTATTTGACAGCGATGAAGATCAGGGAATTTCTGACAGTTGATTTCAGAAAAGGCGGGTTGCCAAAAGTAAACCGCTATAATTACCTGACAAAATTAGGTAAAATGAAATTTCATTGAACTGTGCGACCATATTTTGGCAAAATAAATGTTTATGTAAATTAATTAATGATTTTGCATTTGTTAAAATATATTTCTGTAATTGTTTGTTAAAATGCAAAAGTATACTTTACGTTCTCTGACTGAAGTGAACACGGGGAATTTTCGAATGCATTCGCTAGTGGCTTGATCAGTATTATACATATGTACATAAGTACATATCGTCATTTAAATTGCAAAACAACGTATCATCAAAATATTCGAAATTGAGTTCTTTATTGGTCACGATTCACCAAATCATATCACATTGTATGTATTATAAATTTTTAAGCTGCTACATCAGACATAACCATTTCATAACCAAACCACCTATTTCGTTTCAATATGACTATTATCATAGAAAAACTATTATATCGTCTTCCTTCGCCTGTAAACTTATGAAAAGTGATGTTATGTTATTTTGCATATATGTATGTATGTACATTAAATGCAAGGTATGTTATCAGAGCTTTAAATATGTGATTCATGGTTTCAGTGCAGCCAAGTAATAAATTTAGTCATTTAAGTAAAAACATATGTGACCTTGGTCTACGAAAAGGGAGCTAACGTGCGAAAACTAGTTTTATGGGAAACGGCTGTTAAAAAAAAGCATCTCATCTTCTATCCGAATCAACTAAAAAGTGAAAATTGATTTTTTGACACCTAAGCCCCCTTTCCGTAGACCAGGCCACATATTATATATTTATTAATTTATTAATATATATCGGGTGATTTTTTTGAGGTTAGGATTTTCATGCATTAGTATTTGACAGATCACGTGGGATATCAGACATGGTGTCAAAGAGAA